CATAATTCATCAGAGTTATTGTATGAGGGTCTCGGTAAAATTAAAAATGAATATCATTTGGGTCCAAATAAAATGAATAAATAATAGTGAATCCATCTTAAGATCTAGATACCCTGGTTATTATTCCTTGTGGTGAACAGTGGTGAGGAGTTTCAAATAAGGACAACATAGATGTTTGGTATCATTTGCTTTGGTTAATCTTCAATCTGATGCCAGTTCATGATAAGAACTAACCCCAATCTACTTTGATCTCTTTTATTTCAGCTTCAGTTAGAATTAGTAAACGATAAACATTTATGTTTTAGATATTAAAGCTGATTTATTAAACACACTCATTATATCTCGTGGATATAAATTAATTTAAAAACGCCTTTTTAGTGACACAGTTACTAAAATCAATTTAGTATTAAACATTTTGTAGCACCTAGTGGATTGAGAAACAGCATTCATTTACGTTTTTATAAAGTTATTCGTTGAAATTTATACTAAATATATCATTATGGACAAAACAAATAAAGATTAGTAGTATGTTTTGTATGTATGTTGTGGATGGCGTTTAGAAAAAACTGACGAAATTCAGTGGGACAATTTGTTTCACTATAACTGAGTTAGTCTATTTTTACTTACATAGACACATGTTATTAATCCATTAATAAAGAAATTTATAGGTTGATAAGCTTCGACATCATATCATATCATATCATCTAATCCCTAATACATGTCTATGCACCTATCTTAATGATGGATAATCAAAACCCCAGAAGATTTCTTTAATTGATTCTTACATTAGAAAAGTGAGATTACCACTAGTACTGAACCCAGTTTACGTAATAGATAATCAGTGAATAACAACTAAATATCATTTTTCTTTTAGTGTGAAGATTCTGACTTCATACTACTATTGTTACTCCATTTGATATTGAGATAATGTTACCTGTGTAGATTCTCTTTAACCTTGGATGGATGCGGTTTGTTGAACAGTTCCATACTAGAACAAAACGACCGTCCTGTGCTTCTAAGTTTGCGATGGTGGTTTAACTTAGACCGGCTCATGGTTTAAATGAATCTCAACAGTCTGTGAGACTCCACACTAAAAATAATATATTTGTAAATCTTTAAACGTCAGTGTCATCCGATTTGATCAACAAAAAAAGTTTACTGTTTTGTAATTGTCAGTGAAACATTTATTAATAACAATTCTCTTTTTTTTGTCCTCTACAATAGTATATACATCCATAGACTATAAAGGTTTCGTTATATAACCATTAAGAATATCGAAAGTAAATGGGAACCGAACCTGACAGTTAATTATTCATGTTCGACTTTATAGTAAAATCTGACCAAATTAGGTAAACTAAGTTGGAACTTGTCAACAATGAGAGATTTTTAAAAACATCACATGGTAGTAAACATATTACTTCGATCTTGAATACTTTTTGTAGGAAAAAAATCTTCCGAATGCAAAGTATTTATAAAATTCAGTAAATACTTAAAAATGGTTATTGTTTCTCTTGATTCATACTTAAAGTGTTCTTTCGTGAGTTTAAAAAAAGATACTCAAATGAATTCAGTTATCTAATAACCAATAAGTAAATAATCATTGATAACTGAACTGAAATAAATGTGTTCGTTTATTTATTCTATTAATTCTGTTGTTTATTTAATCCGGTAAGAGTGGATGGTTATTTGTTGTTGTTTGTTTTTGCCTTACTGTAAATATACAAACAAGTAAACAAACAAACAATTCCTGAGAAGTATTTCCAAGAAAAAAAGAAGTGCTTATTAGATTTACGGTAATGAACTTATTGATCATTTGTAATTGATTATTTATGAAAAAACTGTAAACAAATCTTGTTGAGATCATTTATTGTTCTTTTTATTTTTTCGGTAACTAGCAAGGTCACTTTATTTGGCAAAAATGTAATTGGATTTTGATTACATCCGTATGATTGAGAATCGTTTGCTACGATCAATTTATATACTTAAAACAAAGTTTGTCCAGGCTTAGTTACGTCAATTAATCACCTTGATAACCGTTATTGTATAAATCCCAGAGATGTTTGAATTCAGAAGGCAAATATGAAGCGGTGACTACAGTTTATTAGTGGGTAGCACTGATAACCAAGTTATAAACACATAGAGCGAATTTGGAGCAGAAAGGTTAATTCGAGCGAATTTATACTGAGGCGAACCGAATCAAGGTGCAACTAAGTAAGACAAAAGCTATTAATAGGGTTTGAGTACACATATACATAGGAAAGAGAATGACTCATCAAACGATAATAACATTCAAGCTAGAGAAAGATATGTGCGTAGCCTGTCATATCTCGACCAAGCGTACACGTTTATAGTAATAACTTATAATTATTATGATAGTGATCATAATAATACAAAGAAATAGATAAATTGTTACTGTCCGAATAACACTGGCTGTTAAATAAGTTAATAAAAGTACATAACAAAAGTCAACCATAGTCGAAATTAACCGTAAGAGAATTTCTATAAAAACTTAATTTATGTTATTTTATTTAGTTAATAATCTGTAATTCTTGATCCGTAGTTTTAAAGTATCTAAGTACGTTATACTTGGTTATCCTTAAGGTTCATCGATTTGAATGTATAAGTGTAAAACATGAGAAGTCATTGGAAAGGAAATTCTTTATTCAGTCAATAGCTTTCAGTCTTCCTATGAGTGGTTTCTTAATTTTCCTATGATTAGATTAACGTAAATTTTCTTCTAGTATCACATAAATTGTTTGTTGACATCCTTATTGTTTACAAGTATTATATATTGAAATTAAAAGTTTAATTAATTGCCTCAATGTCCGCTTATAATCAAGTAAAGTTGAGTTAATAAAACAAAAATATTTACAAAAGATTTCAACCCTGCAATAACTCAAAAGTTAGACTGTTTTTACTTAATAGAAAATCATAATGAAATATTCGATAAATGAAAATCAACTTGAGGGTTAGGTAACAGTTAGGATCATTTTTATTATTAACCATCTAGATTGTAAATATAAGAAGTTGAAAAACTATTGAACATCAACTGGTAAATTTTAATGATACACATTAAAATGAACTAGAATACATTGTATTGAATTTAACAATACTGTATTGCAGTGGTGCAATGGATATTAAAAATAAGCTTTATGTCCTGCCTAATCTACTTTAGTTAGGAAGGGAGTATGACAGTAGTATTAATAGCTTTCAGATAGAAAATCCAACTACAACTTTTAAGTTCTTAAGAGAAGTTCAAATATCATGTATACCACTAAATATTACTCAGAACTATTAAGATGGTGGTGAAAAATTATTTTTACAACCACAGAGTAAAGTCGATAGTTTCTTATATATCAGATATACTCTTCGTTAAATGCAGCCAAAATATCGAACATAGATAGAGTTCGTGAAGGCTTCCCTTCCAATATTTAATGTTGAATATATCTTCGAAAAAAGTGGACATAAAGTGATTTAACAAATGCAAAATACGTATTATTTGAAATACAGTTTGGAAGGTGGATTCTTAGTAGGGTTATTAACAATACGTTATATTTATCTCATAAAGCTGTTAAATATATTTAGATAGTTGAGATTATGAGTCAATTGAAGCTAGACCGCCATGGAAAACCTGGAAGCACTGGACGACCGTTTCGTCCAATTGCGGGACTCCCCAACAGTACTCATCCACGACCCTGCCCGCAGGATTCAAACCCAGAACCTATCGGTCTCGAGCGCGAGGTCTCGCGGAATGGGGTCGTGGGTGCACACTGCTGAGGAGTCCCACAATTGAACGAAACGACCGTCCAGTGCTTCCAGGTTTTCCATGGTGGTTTGGCTTCAATTGACTTATGATCTCAACTATTGAAATTACTTCAATCTCCATAATACCCCTTCAAATATATTTAGATCAATAGATTACGAAAATTAGTTCAGCTTGACGATTGTTTCCATCTCAATCTGCCAATAGCCAAAGGGACGCTCCCCAATTGTTCCATATTTTATTTTACATTATTCAGTCCATAATGTAAACCTCACTTTAAAGTTGTATATTTCATTGCTAACTTTGGTGAAATATTTAAAATGTTTTCTAAAAAGAACACTGTACCTACATTGAGGCTTTTGTCAGTTTTTAAGCTTTTATTATCATTCTGAATAATTTTACCAGCTCCTATGTCCGTGCATCTATCTAAGCTACAAAGCTTTGTGTTATCATTTCAACGAAATTCCTGTTTTCTACTAACCTAAGTATAAAGTAAGAACACTTTAAGTTTAAGTATTAGATTATTTAGAAACATACATCAAGTTACATATCCACTTCATTTATTTATTTTGACTATTTCACTTGATAAATTATGGACAGTCGTTTGAATGAGTCAAAATTATTAATACATCAACTCTGAGATGCAGATACATCCAGCTGACGAGTCCCAAATAGGACAAAACGCGCGTCCTGGATTCCACTGCAAGCCACTTTCCATCTTTGCCTATAATGCTTGTAAATTAAGGCAATATCGAGGCATACGCACAGTATGCACATATGCCAACAAGAGACTGAACAATTTCAGTCCTAAACATCAATGGGAAGATTCAAATAAATAAAAAAACAATATCAAGTGAATTAATATTTTCATTAGATTTACTAATCCATTTTAGATGACATAACATTAATAAAATGACTTTTGATAAACAGATTGATCTTTTTTTAAAGTTATTCATTATCTATTTGTACTTTAATTATTTCTTTTGTATGATATAACTATTAAGTGATTACATATGTACATCAAGATTAAAACCATTCGATCATCAAACTAAATATACACTTGTCTTATTCAATTTTATCAATAACAATATGATCTATCATCTCCACTATATCTTATCATATAATGACAAATATGTTGGATAAATTAATCGATTTTATGATGTAATAACTAATGATTTAAAAAAGTGATTATAATGATAATAATCAATGAATTGGATCACCATTCATGTTCACTTACATGTTTGGTCATTCTCTTTTCTTCTATGCGCGTAATGTTCCATAGCTGAAATATTTTAAAAATAAAATCAATTAAGTTAGTTATATAAAGTGGTTTTCAGTCAGTGATGAAATTACTTTACTAGTAAAAATATTTGTTTAACAGAAACCAAACAGAGGTAGATTGCGGAAGTAAAATCAGTTTTTTTGAGAAGGACCCTTATTATAAAATGATATGTTATGACGAATAACTAAAACGGTGAACATTTTATTATTGTTAGATTTCAAGCTCCTTTGGGACTGGATCGAACACTTAACGATAACTTTATTGAATAGAAATACATTGATTAAAATTTTACGTTACTATTTTGTAGCTCAGTGAATTGACGGGTTAATTTAAGTTGTATTCAAAGAAGCACACCTGTATGAGAAATGAGGTGATAAGAACCTTCACTCTGCTTTGATTTATACATAATCCGTAACTTACACTGCAATTTTTGTGTAACTTAGTAATGTTCATTGCGAAGATTCATAAATACTATTTATCATTGGGCTTGAGGGAATTACTGTACTGGTAAACATTTGGTGTATGGTGTCGTTTGATAGTCTGATCTAGATAAAGTCATGCGGTGAAGCACCAGTGCTATTTTATATCCTTCTGTGCACATTGTACTGTTCACAAACACTCTACACACTTCTAAATCATTATGTTCTCACCACCTCGTTGTTGTATAAATATTCTCTCTAATCAAACTAATGTTATTCTCTTTATTCAACAGTGATTAGGCGTACTCGAAATATGGAAAGACATTTTAGCATGTTAGTTTCACTGCGTTATAATCCACTGAAGCCATACCCCCACTTTGTTAGATATCATAAAACTTTCACAATGTTACAGCAAGCAAAATGTTGCTAATCCTTAAAGTTATGAATATGTAGACATTATCTAGAGTTTATTTTCGTTTCTTATAGTGTCTTGGTTTTTCATATATATATACTATAAGATGTATTTGAGTAGTATTGTACTTATGTAGTTTTTCGAAGGTTACCTAAAATGGCATATTGTAAGTTTTCACGGTCTACGTATTCAATGAGTGTTTAGGAAGTCTATCTGTTTATCATACTTACCATCCATCATTCAAAACTAACTATAGTACCTAAAACTTAGCGATACTGTATCACCACAGCAAACTGATATGCAGTAGGTAATGATTAATAAAGAACTTATTTTCCCTCTGTTAGTAGAAAAAAAACAGTTACTTTTGAACTATACAGTCACTTTCCATTACAATCTACTATTTATCTACAGATTACAATTAGCCTTTTACAAAACTTTTTAATGGTAGGTAAGTTATCTAACAAATAAAACATTCAAATCAGGTAAATTAATTTCAGTGCATTAGGCAACATAAGAATAAAACCTTTATAAAGTAGAGAGATCGGTGTGTATGTTACTACTAACATTGGTAATGTTAATAATAATTCAGTTTGTAATGGACAATGTAAGACCTGGCAAAAATGTACATTATCCTAAGTTGTCATACTATATCAGTACGGTGAGATAAAATAAGTGAAGTATAAAAATAACTGAAACAAATTTAGTATCTTTGATACAAAAATAAAAAATATAGGAGAAGAATATTTGAAAAGAAATGGATTCCGTTCATAAAACATACGAAATATTATTAAACGTTAGGACTTGATAAAAGATATAAAGTGAATTCATCATAGTCACTTTGACTAACTGTGAGCTGTCACCTGACGAATTCAATCTTGGCTATCTCACAGAATTCAACCCGATAGTCTGCACCTAATGATACGGCTCAGTCTGATGGTCAGTAATGATTAGAAATGATAACTTGATTAAAAACACTAAAAAGAATCACCATTCATGTAATTGGTGTCTTGATTATTAATTACTACATTTCACAATTAATAATTTTGACTAATAAATAGACTTGTTCATTCCGAAAGTTTAATTTAGTCCATTTGACTGAACCTATATTAAGTATCGAATAGGGATGACACTATACGAATACGTCATTTTTTACGACCAAATTTTATTCACATTCCGCTTAACATTAAGAGAATTATTATAATACATAAGTGATGACCATAAAATATCACTTCATGAGTTATTGATGTGAAGTAAAAATATTTTTCAATCGTAAAAACAGCTGAGGAATGTTTCTACTGGCGAAAAATTCTTTTTAATGTTATATTAGTGAAGACAATCGAGTAAAAGGCCATTGGATCAAATTTTTTATTGATTTAAAATGATCAGTGAGACACACTAGAGGTTGAGCGTTCATGCGCGAGACCTAAGGTCCTGGGTTCCAGTCCCGCTTGCGGGATCGTGGATGCGCACTGCTGAGAAGTCCCATAATAGAACAAAACGGCCATCCAGTGCTTCCAAGTTTTCAATGGTTGTCTAGCTTAGATTGACCCATGAATTCAACCATTAAGACATTTTAGTATTTTTAAAAAAAGTATTTACTATTACCAATTAGACATGCTGCACAAACTTCCGGTATCGATTTTCTGAGTGACTACATTGTAAGCGTGATTGATATAATTTAATTAATTCTAGGAATAGCAATAGAAAGTTTGGACTTATTGTTTACTGACCAGTTAGTATATGTTGGTCTCTCGCAGTGAAAGTTTGACCTAAACATTATCATTTTCCCCCACGATTGGTAAACAAATCTATGAGAGTAACTGATTTCCATAGATTGAAGTTGTTATCGGTAGTCAGATAACTAGTCACTCAACTAACAAATTAGACAAACATTAGTATAATTATTACTGACAGTTAACTTGCTTATTTACACTTCACTATGATAGAAATATCATGCAATTATTCAAAAAAATCTGCAATAATTAATAATAGTGACTTAAGATATCCTCTGCTTCCAATTTCTTTGTTAATTACTGGTCAGACTCCAACGACACCTTAGGACCAGTATTCCTCAGTTTGAGTTAACTTCATACCATTATATCAAAAAAATATATGAAATTCATTACAGTGATTAAACTGTTTTAAAAATTGCTTGTTTATTGGTGTATAATACCTAATTTGTTTACAATTTACTGGGACTAGATTAATTTATCTTAAAGATTTGTGCACATTCATTGCTTAAAAGTTTGATATCTTTCATGAATGTTACAAACTGTAGATTTCTAGTAAATTTGGTGTTCTTTTCATGATAAATTCAAATCAGTTAGGGAAGCAGTTAAACTAAGTAATGATATCGAAGTTTGTCTATCCTTGAGAAGGACTCTCTACAGAATTAAGATAACTAACAAACTCCTTAGACCGTAAAACATTTTAGCTAATCTTTACTTACTGTACATCTTTAATCTTAGATGATTCATGTCTCGTAATAAGCAATTTTAGCACAGAGAAAATTTTATTGACCAAGCCTGCCTAGCGTTATCCTGTAGTAAAATAAAACTAGTAATCCATATATTTTGATGTTCGGATATTTTTGGAAGTGATATTAAATTTTGTTTAGGCTTTAAGTGACCAACGTTTAAAAGCTTTAAAAAAAAATTATTATGCTATTAGGTTAGAGGGACGATTAAATTCTAGTCTTTGGACGAAAAACATTTGTAAATTGTCAAATTTTACTAGAATAGATTATGTAATCGAAACATTACACAATTGATAATATGGATGTCATTTTAACTAAACCTTGATATTTAACTAAATATAAATAATAAATCCCAAGCCCTTTGTGAAGACTAAACTGTCAGACTAAAGAACCCTTCAACTTTATCAGTGATGAATAACTTAGCAGCTGTCAAGCAAATCAGACAGCAATGAAATGTTTATACAACAAGAAATGTTTTATAAAAATGTTAGATGTAATTTGTTTTTTTTTTTTCAAACAAAACTCTGATTGCAGTTTACTCACTTTTATTAGTTGCTACACAAAATTTATCAATTAAAAGTCCTATTTTTTTTATTAAATTAACTCATCATTTCTTATCATGACAGTTTGTAGTCTATTGATATTTTAGTTGACATGCAGAAATTATCTGGAAATCAGATTCTTTCTATAGCATAGCATTCATTTTGAACTTCGAATGTTGACAATGGTAACAGAGTAATTGCTGAATCCCATTTACTTTAATAAATAATTAAATCAGTTAGAGATTCAAGTAAAATATACAGTGAATAGATAACAGCTAGAAGAAGGATGTGAAACGTTGAAGGTTGGTGACACATAACACTGTTAAGTCTGGAATTATAGGTTCAATTTTAAGAGTTGTGAGTGGATACTGTGGAACATTAAAACAGTGTTAAACAAATATATGATCTACACTAGGTTTTCGTGGTTTGATGAGTAGTTTATATCTAGGATCAAACATAAGTTTGTTATTCTTGTTCCCCATAGCAGTGTCTTCTGATGATCTTAACAACCAAACTAGTTGTGGTTTGTAACAGTGGAACAATATACCTCTTCATCTGAACGATTTATTTATAAAATACCTTCACAGAGCTCATTTTACTTTAAGCTTTATTGCTGTCCCTTGAAAAAAAAAACAAATTTGATAAATTACTCGTCAACAAATGTTATTCTGTCGTGCAATATGGAAAAAATTCTATTTAGTTTGTACGTTCATTATCGCCTGATTATCCGTAGGAAATAGCTTAATGGATAATAATTTAAAACTTTCAAAAGGTTAGCAGAAACACTGAGTCACGGCTATAAGTTATACTTTATGGGAAGGACAGGTATATATTTTGGTGAAGTAAAAACATAATGGCAGAAAATTAATCGACGCGATGAACGTATACCAAATGTTGATTGATTACAAAACATGATTTATTAACATCAAAAGTAAGATAATATAGATGAAAACTGATTTATCATTGTTAGTTATAAGCATTTATTGTAATAAATGTGAAAGAGTTCGTAAGAATTGTTCAGAAGATTTATAGCCTATAGGATTGGTAAGTGGATATTCTAGAAAAAAAGCATACAACCAATAAGTGTCCAGGAGTAACAAATCAGTATCATGGATTAAGTATTTACAACTATAAATGTATGTTGATTGAGA